CATTTGGAAGGAGAAGCTTAAGGGAAGTCACAAAGATCCCAAAAGAAGGAGGTACTGAGACAGGACAATAACTTGTACAGCAAGGTTGGTGAGATCTCAGAAAATCAATGTGACAGACACCAGCAGTTTCTACCAGCAGGTGAGGGGTGAGCTCTGGACCACACTTAGGGTGGGATTTTGCTTAAAAGAGGCCAGGCACTAATACCAGGGGACTGAAGAACTGACATCATGAACAGATGCCTAGGCATGCTGAGTTGAGGATGAAGGCATGCCTGGAGCAGTGCCAGGGCTGGATATTGATGCTCAGCTGAAGACAAGCCCTGTGCCCCATCCTGAAAGGAATCTCTGCAGCCTCCTGAAACTCCAACCCATATGTGAAAAGACAGGAAGAAACCTGATCACATTTAGTAATGGGTCACAGATACACGATCGCTGCAATAGCAACCACAGAGCCCAGGAACTAGAGTCTCTACAGGACACTAAAGTCAGAATGTGATGGAGACAATGCACTGAAGATACACTCAGAAAGCCTGATGTTCTCAACATGTTCTGCTCAGACACTGGGACACCACACTCAGCAGCAGAGTGCACCCAGTCTGGCATCCTGTAAGAACCTGGACACAAGAGATCTTTCCCCACATACCCCACAGAACGGAGAAGGAATGGCAAATGCCAAGCAGAGGGTCCTTGGAGGGGGGGACCCTGGGAATCACTGCAATGAAAAGCAATAGAGTCAAAAGACAAGGAAGCTGGTGAACCAAAAACGACAAGAGGGCATAAGGAAGTCAGTCACCTCCTAAGTGAAAATTCAGTTTGGCTGGAGAAACACAGCAGTGACATACTCCAAACCCATTTCCAATCCCAGCTTCTTAATGTGAATGTCCCCTTCCCAAAAAGACCTCATCAGAATCAAGTTTTGAGGGCACTTTAGCTGGAATAACAAGGCAACTTACAGTGTCTGAATACAACCTTGGACTGTGCTGGCAAAGGCAAGCGGATGGGGCAAAGGAGGGACAGAGACTCCTCTACCATGGAATAGCTGCTCCCTTGGGAGGAGAAGTGAGAGGAAATCTGGAGTTTGGTACACAGAGAGTGCACTTTGCTTGGTAACTCCCAGTGTCTCCTCTGGGACAGCTTGGAGGGGCTGGGCATGGTGTTCTGCTCCATTAGTAATTACATTATGCCAGCACATGTAAATACTTATTCTGGCACAGCCTCCCAGGCCAGGGCTGTGTGCAGTCCTCCTAAGCCCTTGTAGCATTGACCCCGTAGCACAGCCTGCTCTGCCAGCTCCCTTGTAGGCTGACATTAGGAGCAATAAGATCTGTGTTTGCACATGGACAGGCTGCAAGTCCCTTGCATCAACAGCACTTTGGAAACGTAAAAGAGTCTCTGTGCAGGTGAAGTGTATTTCCATGTGAACCAACTCACTGCTTCCCCCTCATTGTGCAGCCCACCTTCTTCCCAGAAATCAGACCCTCAAGAGAGAAGCTTTGGGGTTGAAAAGATGGAAAGGGGAAATGCTTACAGTAAAGGGAAGATAAAAGAAGTCTCCATCACTTATTTTCTATGAAAGCTTTTGCCTGAGGTGGGGTTTATTCCAAAGCTACAAACCCATGTGAACAGCGAAGCTTCCAGTGGAAACCAGAGTCCCTGCAAACTGGTGTGCCTCTGAATGGTACAAGAACCCAAATCTGCCTCTTTCTGAACTCCAACAGTGCCCTCAAGTGCTCAAAGGAGAAGCCGCAGGGCAGGGATGGAGCTTGTCACCACGCAGGCTGCAGTGCAGGATAGATTGTGAACTAGGAGAGGAAAGATGTGGCTGTATGGGCTAGAGCGTGGCTCACCGAGCTGTGCTCAGGGCTGCATCCCCCTGACTAACTTATTTTTCCCTTCGTGGGCAGATCTGCACCATGTGAGAGCCCCGCTGTCACCAAGAGATGCTCCAAGAGATGCAGATCCATGCTCTGTGTTGCACGGAAAAGATGCACATGTCAAAAGCTTGTGAAAACAGCGTGGTTTGGACTTGACCACTGGAGTGATCCCATCCAGCCAGACCTGGACATGTCCCTCTAGAAAAGGGGCCCTCCTCTGGAAAGGAGAGGACTGAGTTTTAGTGTCCCAGCTCCATTGGTCCCATTTGAATCCCTGCTGTGAGCTTTCCAAGCTGTGTGGATAATGGTGGCACAGCAAGGTAGAGCAGTCCTCGCTCCTTCAGTGAGCTCTGTCTCAGCAAGAAGGGTTCTTTCAGGGAACAAGAGATAACGTCTGTTTGGATGTGTGGGACCTCTGCCTGCTCTCAGTGAGACACCAGGAGCAGGAGACACTGGACATGCTCCTCTGGGCTCTTCTGTGACACAAGTGAGCACTGGCAGGATGCTGAACTCAGAAACCAGCTCACCTTGGTCTCATCTTCCCCTGTGGGTTCCCTGGAGAGTCACTTGGTGGAGCTTTATCCAATGATCCTACACTCAGAGGAAAGAAAACACTTGGTACACTTTCCTCACCAGCATGTGCTATATGAGAATTAAGATGTTTCCAAGGGACAACAGGGTGTTACTATGACGGGAATTGACAATGATATCTTGGGACACTGGTTTTGTCCTGTTTCCTCATCCTCATTTGGGGAAGCTGATCTTAGCCTGGATCATGGCATTGATTTACATGATGCGGTCCAAAACTCCTGTAGAGCTGGCTACCTGCTCTAGTGGAAGGGGTCCCTCCCCGTGGCAGGGGTTGGAACTGGATGAGCTTTAAGGTCCCTTCCAACCCAAACCAGTCTGTGACTCTGTCATTCTGTCACCCTAAACTTGGTAGGAAAGGTTTTGCTACTCCAGAGAAGGCACCCACTGTAACACAGCTCCTGCTCTGCTGTGGTTCATCACTGCCTCAGACAGCATGAGACAACCCTGCCAGCAAAAGCAGATCCAGCAGTGATGGGGACTGCCTTTCTAGTGCAGCGGGCAGCACTCGCTGCCCTTTATCTCAATGATGCTTTGGCCAGTGCCAGCCCCTCCCTGCAGCAGATGGGGAGCAGGGTTTTCATCTGGTGCAGCCTGGTTGTCACCTTTAGGTCAGGAGCTGTCAGCAGTCACACAGTAAGAGCCACTCGTCACTTCTCAGGCTCCAGCATCAACTTGCTTTGATCGTTACCAGTCTGAGGATAAAAATAACCAGATGTGGGTCCCACACTTTTTCATGGGGGTCTCTTCAGCACATAAATAGGGGCAGTTAGGAGAGAACTGGTGGAGTGGGAACTGGCATCTCTAACAGAGACAACTAGCTGCTGGAGACCAGCAAAGGACTATGGTGTGAGCAGAAGCCTCTCTCCAAACCTCCAGAAGAACATCTCCTGTCCTGCTTTCCTGCATTCATCAAAAGTGACCTTGAAACCTGCTGCTGCAATGGCATTCCTACTCTAATGGCCAGAATTGTGGCCAAGGATCCCAGCCAAAAGGCATTTCCCTGGCAGAGCTCAGTGGCCCTAGAGCAGAGCAGGTCTCATCATGACACTGTGGGTTTCTAATTAATACCCATTTGTTTGCATGCTGATCTACCCAACCACATGCCAGCCTCAGGATTTCATCTGCATCCCTGTGCGAAGGGCCTGACCATCACCAGGACCCACTGCCCTGACCCTGCCACTGCCAGGTCACACAGAGTCTGGTTTCAAAGCTAGTCGAGGGTATTGCTCTCCCCACCTCCATGCACTTACCCCAGAATTAGCACTTTAACCTGGCTCATTAGGTGTCTCCCTCAATCCATCAAGAGATGGCAGCACATTGTCCCCTTCCAGGTCTGGGAATACAAATAGCAATGCCGAGCCTGCTCCTCAATGCACATTCTAGCAATTTATTTTATTCTTTTTGGTTTTTTTTCCATGCAAAATACAGCCAAGTTCTTTCCGTGACCGTGCAGAGGACACGGCTCAAGTTAACACCCAGAAGAGGGACCACATCTTTGCTGTGGGGGCACAATTGTACCTTGCAGGGAGGTTTGGTGAGGCTGGGAGGGGGTGCCTCGCTGCTCCCTGCACTGATGGCTGGGGGCAGCCCCATGCTGGGGCCATCTGGAAGCTCTCAAAGCTGCTGAGGTGAAATGCACCCAGAGTCCCGCTCTGAGCTGGGGCTGGGCCAGATTACTGGCAGAGACAGAAGAGAAATAGACTGAGGTCTTGGGAAGGCACAGGGAGCACCCCTCAGCCATGCCAGAATGGACCAGGTTGGAAAAGACCTTTAGGATCAAGTCCAACCGTTCCCATCACTGCCAAGGCCACCACTGCCCCATGGCACTGAGGGTGTGTGAACACTTGCAGGGACGGTGCCTGCAGCCCTGCCCTGGGCAGCCTGTTCCAATGCCTGAGCACCCTCTGGGGCAGGAATTGTTCCTCAGCTCCATCTAACCCTGCCCTGGTGCAGCTTGAGGCCAGTTCCTCTTGTCCCATCCCTTGTTCCTTGGGAGCAGAGCCCAGCCCCTCCTGGCTCCATCCTCCTGTCAGGCAGTTGGAGGCAGCCATCAGGTCCCCCCTGAGCCTCCTCTTCTCCATCTGAACTCCCCAGGACACACATGGAAGCCTCACCACCTCTGCCCATTCCACCCCCCGTCCTCCCCCATGCACACAGGCCATTGAAAAGCACCGTGGGGGCTTTTCAGCACCTTTGTCCTTCTCCCCCGTGCTTCCTGGGCCCAGCCGTGCACTGGGGTTGGAAGTGACCCCAATCACTCAGCCTGCAGACCCGGTGCAGGGCCCATGAGGCGCAGGCTGGATGGGAAGGGAGGGCAGAGGACACCGACGGGAGGTATAGCGATCACTGCAATGAATGCTGAACTGGCCGAGGTGGCTCCGAGGGCTCCTGAGACAGCAGAGCACGACGAAAGGTCAATCGCGACCGCCCGCCATGACAGCGCTGCATCACGACACGGCGGGAGGGGCCAAAGGCAGCTCCGTGCGCATGCGCAGCTGCCGCCGGCTACACGTGCCCCTCTCCCACGTGGCCCTGAGTCACGTGACGCGGGAGCCGGCCCACTGCCCCTTCAAGATGGCGGCGCGCGGAGGGGAGGGGCGGCTGTTGTTGAAGCTTTATTGTTCCCGCTGCTCCTGCCTCCGCGGCCCGTGTCCGCCGCGCCGCAACCAATAAAGGTAACCATGGCGACGCCGGCTGGGCCTGGGCCTGGGCCTGCGCTGCGGGGACAGCCGGGCCCGCCCGCGTCCTGTGCCGAAGGGCTCGGCGGGCACCTCTCCGCTTCCGACCTCCCGCCGCTTCCTCATCAAACCCGCGCTGGGGTCCGGGTTCTGCGGTGCCGGGGATGGGGTGGTTTTGCGTCGTCCCAGGGCAGCGGCACGGGAGGGTCTGGCTTCGCGCCTATGGAGGGACTGACTCCTGCAGGCCTTTGCCGCCAGCCTGGCGGGCGCTGCGTCCCTGCGGTAGGGCCTTGTTAAATAGAGGTGTGCTTGGTGGGTGCTCCACGGGTGGCCAGGGTACTGAAGGGCCGCTGTCCTGCTCGTTAGAGCAATGGATGTGTCCCTTCTGCCGGAGGGAGCTGGTTGATTGCATTATTACTGTGGAAAATACGGCAGAATTCCCTCTGGAGCCTGCACTGAAAGATGCCTCCACCAGAACCCTTGGTCTGAGCTTGTAGCCGGATTCTGCTGACCCCGAAGGTGTTTCTTGTTAGATGCACTTCAGAGCATCTTTCATAGGATCTCTGTCTCTCTCAGCTGTGTCCTCTGCCTGGTCAGAAGCTGTCAACCGCTCCAGAAAGTTCTCTTAAATGTAGGTGTGGAATTTTTCATTTCCCAAACTATTATATTTCTATTCAGAGAGCTCACCTAAGCGTTGTGTGCTGTTCTGCTGCCTTTAGAGACTGAAGTGTGCTGAATTGAGTCAAAACGTTGCTTGTTTTCCTCTGTTACCAGTCTGCACTGGTGCTCTGAACTGAAATAAAATAGATTGAAAACCAAATTGGTGTGCCCTAGCTCCTTGGACTGGATTTTACATTATCCCCTGGGAGAGCTGCCTACTCCAGCCCTTTGGAGCACCTCAGAAGCAGGTAATAACCCCTCAGCATCTTTCAGTGCTTCAAAGACTGAATTACTTTTGGTGAGAGGGGTACGAGGATTGAATTGCAGTACGTGATTTTGTGGCTTTCTGCTCTTTTTAAGGTCATTTTAATAAGGAGAAAACAAGAAACTAGTAAATGCATACACAGAATATTCCAATGCTGATTTAAGGCTGTCACTGTCCTTAACACCTCAGTGAGAAAACCAGAAAGGTGCCTATTGGTTTTGGAGGCTGCTGTGGTAGCCAAGGGGCTGCAGGGCCAAGGAGCAATAGAGAACAAATCCAGAATGGGCAGCGATGGGGTGTGCTCCTCTGTCAGGGGCAAGGAGCCTTCCTGGAATGGAATGACTTGTTTCCTGGAATGACTTGCTTCGATGACATTTGCTCTGGAGCCAGGCTGAGAGAGCTGGGCTGGGGCAGCCTGGAGAAGAGAAGGCTCCTGAAGGGGAGACCTTAGAGCAGCTCCAGTGCCTAAAGGGGCTGCAGGAAAGCTGGAGAGGGGCTTGGGACAAGGGCCTGTAGGAACAGGCCAAGGGGAATGGCTTGAACCTGCCCGAGGGGAGACTGAGCTGAGCTCTTAGGCAGAAGCTCTTCCCTGTGAGGGTGCTGAGGCGCTGGCACAGGGTGCCCAGAGAAGCTGTGGCTGCCCCATTCCTGGCAGTGCTCAAGGCCAGGTTGGACACAGGGGCTTGGAGCAAGCTGCTCCAGTGGAAGGGGTCCCTGCCTGTGGCAGGGGTTGGAGCTGGGTGAATTTTAACGTCTCTTCCAAGCCAAACCAGTCTGTGATTCTATGACTTTAGCTCCCTTGATTAGAAAGCTGTGAGTGCAGTGCATGGGAGGGCAGCTCCTGTGAGATGCTCTGATCAGCCCTAACAGAAGTGGCATTTACTTAAGGTAGAGAAGTTGAATTTTTCTTTTCTTTTTCTGTCCCTTTACTTATTTTATTACTTTTTTTTTCCCCTGCCTGCTTTGTTTAGCTATTTAGAGCTCACATAGATACTGCTTCTGCTTATCACTGGGTGTGCAGGTTGTATCCATCGGTGCATGGCATCGCACTGCACTATGCTTGCAGCAAGAGGGAGCACAAGGCTGTGGGTTTGTGCCTTAAAAAGCTCTCTGCTGGTTTTAATTCCTTGCCAGGGCAGCAATAGTGGTTGGTTTGGGGTGTTTTTAATTATTTTAAGCTAAAATAAGCCTGCTCCGTGTGCATCCCAAGGAAGAATGTCAGGCACGGAGCCCATCTTCAAGCTGGCCACTGAGATGCTACTGAGCAATGAAGCCAGGAGTGTTGGGCTCATCATTACACTAACTCCAGCAGTTGTGTAGACCAGCACCTTGTAAAAGCCCTTAATTGTGCCAGTAAGGGACACATAGAATCCTTTTGCCAAGGTGGTGGCATTGAAATTCTTTCTGTGCTTTGTGATGGGCTTTCTAATAGTGAGGGTGCTGTGGCAGCCTCACAACTGCAGGGGAGGGGTGGACTCATAATGCATCTGTGGAGCACCTATCTCTGCTATGTCTTATTGTTAAAGCACTCAGTCCTAAATTTGGATTGTCTTTTGATGAACCTAGTGACGTGGATGGCTTTGGAATCTGTTGAATCTAGGTTGGAGTAATTTTATGAATAATGAAGAGAAGTAATTTAATTTGGAAAGTCCATTTCAGTTCTGTAGGTTGAATTGAGTGTTCCTGTTCCCTCCTCTATGGAGAAGAGTCGGTGTTCTCATCATATCCTTTTCCCATTTTAATGTATCTTAAAGAAAAAGATATGATCCTGTCAAACTCTGGAGGTATGTAGGGGTGGAAACACCTAGGAAAAGAAAGCTGAAATGGGACAGCAGAGGATAATGTTTGCTGCAGACCCGTTTTGGACCTCCTGTGCCTGGGAGGATCAGAACAAGGATTTTCTTTGCTGAAGTGGATGTCCTGAGAGCAGTCACAGATGATAACTTCTGCTTAAGGATGACAGGAGAGCCTTTATCAACAAGTGGGTCAAGTACAGCCTTAGGAATTTTAGGCACTTCTGAAAGTTTGGCTCGAATTGATTCATTGTCTCACTGGAAATGGGTGGAATGAAAATTCCTTGGTGTTCTCCCTGGGAAGCTGGTGGGACAAGGCTGAAGATGTCCCCCAGTGTTCCTCAAAAGGTTAATTTTGCAAGGCCCATTTGTCATACAGCTGACATGAGTGAATATCTTGTCTCCTTTGTCCCCCTTTCTGACTCCAGTGAGCCAGTACTGCAGAAATGGGCAGTGCTGGTGTGGCTTGGGTGTCAGCAGCCCCAGAAGCAGCTTAGACAATGTTTTACCTGAAGTTTGAGATCCATAAGAAGTTCCCAGTGAGCCTGGCTCTAAAGAGGATGCTGAGAAGCATCTTCAAGCTGAAAAGTGACCAGTGGTGCTGGCAGAGGCAGATAGCTCTTGTTCTGCAAGCACTCATCACTGCTAAAGTGTTACCTACTCTCCTAGTTCAGCCCTGTCTCCCAGCCAGATCTCCTGAAAGCTGTCTAGAAGGTGGCTGGGAGATGAAGCCAGACAAATTTGGGTAAGAAACAAGGCGTGTAACTTAACAGAATAAATATGGCAGTGAAAAGTCCTCCACCTAAAAACCTAAGAGTTCTTACCATGACCTTGCTGGAAGAGGAGCTTTAGCCAAACCCAGGTTACTGTGTCTGGAAATATAGGAGGCAGTGAGGGAGAAATCAGGTTGCTGTTGGTGGTTCCTCCTTGCAGAAAAGCCTGAAGCAAGTTCTAAGTAGGGGGTCAATTGCCTTGAGGATGGTCTTGGCCCTCGTTAAAAGCATCTGTTCTCTCTGGCAGTACTGGATCTTTGGGTCCCTATAATTAAAGAAGTAACATGTATTTAAACAAGTATGTCTGATCTGATTGCATTTTCTAGTGCTCCGAGTTGCTATAATAAAGAAGGGGAGGTGCTGCTATGCTGCTTAGAGCTTTCATGTTTTGAGCTGTCATGGGCAAATAAGTCTTCTATATTCTTGCCAAGAATAGAGAGAGCAGACGGTGCTGCAGCTTCCTCCAGCTTGCTATGGTAGAAGTGATGGGTTTTATGTAGAAGGCTATTCATGGCAAAGTGAGTAGATATCTCGTCCAGGACATTGATGTTTCCTGCTTGTCCTTTTGGAGGAAGAGCCACAACTATTATTATTTAACCAGCAGATTCAGTTTCTTAGATACTGGCATTCCTTCAGCTCCAGAGGAGTGGGTGGACTAAAACTGCTATTACATTGAGCCTGGCAAAAGAAACAGATCTGTTTCTTCTCCCACGACCAGCAGCAACTCCACTGATGGCAGCTTGGTTACTCATGATTTACAACGGTGTGGGAGGATCGCAGGACCTGTGTGGTTAATGGGCTGGAGATGCAGGTGACTGACTGGCCCTGTGCATGGGTGAAGGGCTGGATCTGGTACTTACAAAGCAGCAGAGGTGAGCTGCAGACCAGACAGCCTTTGGTAGCAATGTGCCCAGAGAAAGTATGGCTCCTGGGAAGCAGGAGGGTGGGGTATCAGGGACTACTTAAGTTCCCTGCCTTCCAGAAAAGGCCCCAGCTACCCACTGCTCTCACCTCAAAGGTATTCAGATGGGGAGCATAACACTTCTGCTTTGAGGTGATGCCAGAACCATCTATGATCTTATCCTGATGGTTGAAAAGCAAGTTATACTACTTCATCTTTAAGGGGGAGTTCTTGGCTGAGCAGGAGTGCATGGTTACCTACCAGCTCAGATGTCTGTGGCTTTGGGCAGAAGGTCCTGCTTCCCACAGCCTCTCAGCTCCAGAGGGGTTGGCACCTTGCGAGACACCAGCTCAACCTGTACCCAGTGTCTGCCTGCAGCTTGCAGTTCATTGCAAGCTGGGAGTAGCTCCAAGCCTGCTTTTGTGTGAGGATGGTGTATGAGCATCGTTGCACTTCATGCCCTGACGATAGGCAACATTACTCCTGTTCTCTACAAGACGGTAGGAAGCTGAGTGCAGAGATGTTAAACAGTTGAAGGTCATGTAAATCCTGTCCATCTGGGTGCTCTTCCTCCAGCACTCATGCTGCTTTGTTTCAGCATCATTGCCAGCATCAGTGTTAGGCAGCCTAGAGTGTCGACAAGGCAGTAACAGCTTTATCCTGTCTGAGATAAAAACTCCAGATATCCCACTGATAAAATTCTGTTGGCAGATGTCCTGTCTGTTCTCTCTCCTGCAGTGATATGGGGGAAGTAAAAGGGAGGCTCTGGTAGATGGGATTAGGGCTGTGGACTTCTGCAAGAAGTTACAGTTTGGGGTAAAAGACTTGTAAATCCAAGAGTTAGGACTGGGATGTGCTGGGAAGGGAGGTGCTGAAGGCTCTGGGCTGAAAGCAGATCTCCATCACTAATGCCTATGTGCCCCTGCTGATCTCAGCAGTGACGCAGGGGGAAAATTAACTGATCCCAAACCACTTGGTGCTTTACAGGTCAAAGCTAACACCTCTGATTCTCCTGTTTGGTAGATGATCTGAACAGCTCTTCCTGCACTGCTTCCCCACCTGCCCTTTCAGAAACCAGGTCCAGCTTCTGGATGCAGGCAAAGCCTGGTACTGCAGTGCCTGATCTGAAGAGTAATTGCACTTCCTTGAGCTCTATGGTAGGAGGCACATCAGGGAGTCTCTTCTCCCTTTTTGTGCCACCTGGGGCTCAGTATTCATTCCCAAGCTCTTTCTGAAGTATTTCTATTTTAACAGTATCTAGACTAGCTCTAGCAGGGTGAGTTGCTAAGTTTGGGGACTGGAAGTTCAGTCCATGGGGCCTCTTGCTGCAACCACTGAACTGCAGTGTAGTGAGCTACTGGGAAGTGTAAACTGAAAGGCTCCTCTCTGAGCAATGTGCTAACAGCATCCTTGTTTTTTTTCACTAGCAGGGTTTTGTGGAGACCACAGCAGGAGGAGGCCTGTAGACCCTGTCCTGGTATCATGGAGCTTCCTGGTTACAGCAGCCAGCTGCTGCAGCAGCTCTGTACCCTCTGCAAAGAGCAGCAGTTCTGTGATTGCACCATCTTCATTGGGAATGTTCACTTTAGGGCACACAAAGTGGTTTTGGCTGCTGCCAGCCTGCTTTTTAAATCCCTGTTGGACAGTACAGACACCATCTCCATCGATGCTTCTGTGGTGACCCCTGAGGAGTTCGCTCTCTTGCTGGAGATGATGTACAGTGGCAAACTCCCACTGGGGAAACACAATTTCACCAAAGCTATCTCCGTGGCAGATAGCCTGCAGATGGTTGATGTGGCTGTCAGTTGCAAAAACCTCCTCAGGGACCTCATCAGCTGTTCTACTCAGGACCAGGTAGTAAGTGAAGTCTCCAGCCAGGCAGCAGACTCATGTGAAAACCATGCTGAAGCTAATAACCTGCCCCAGCCTGAAAAAACTGATGAAGGAAAAACAGATATCCTCATACCACAGAGACTTTCCCCTTTTCTTGGCTCTGAACAAGCAGAAGTGGAAGCAGATGTTTCTCCTCCTGGCCAGGAACTTGCTGTGAATCACACATGGGTGCACCAGGATGGGATATCGAATGACTCCAGATCCCTCCAGGAGGGTCCAGGCTCTCATCCTGATCAGCCTGCCTGTGCTGAGCAGGGTGGCTGTGCAGAAGAGGAGCTTCCTGAGCCTCCAGAGGAGAAAGGAGGAGTGAGGAGAGATTTAGGTGAGACTTTGCATGTCTGGACATGTTGACTGATGTTTTCCTGTTATTGGGCATCTTTTCCTCTGTGTTTTAGTTTGCCCTAGGCTGGGAGCAAATCCCTTTCCTGCAGGGGTTTCTTCCTTTGGCACTGTGCAATACTTTCCTTTGGTCTTTGCAGTTGCCTCACACTCACCACTTTATCAGAGCTGTAGGGAGCAAAACTTTTCTTACTCGTGCATGTGATTGCATCTGATGTAGAGTAGGGATCTGCATTAGTGCAGGTTGATAAGGCAATCTGTATAACAGTAAGTGAACAGAGTTGTCTGCTAATGCTACTTTATCCTTTAAACTCCTGTTCAGCATGGGAGGAAAACAGAGGCTGTACTGGGTTTAAAATAAATGTTCCATTTATAACTGGTGTTAAATAAACTGTTGGTTTTCCCTCCAGGCTGTGTGATATCTTCAGAAGGGATTTGTGAGTCACAGTTTCCCTATTATAACCAATGTGCTGGTTACAAACCGGTGCCTTTCAATCACATCATGCTTTCTGTGAATCCCTTCAATTAGCAAATAACTCATCTTGTTTCTCTCACACAGCAGCAGACAACGAAAGCTGTAAACTGGATTTCTTTCTTCGGTATGAAAGCATTTTCTCTGAGGCCCTTTCTGATGCCCAGGCTGTGCTGAACAGGCTAGAAGAGTGCAGAGAAATTGATGCCTCTCAGAAGGAGGTAGGTGTGTTGACTTGGGTAAATGATGCAAGTTTTTTCTGTCCCCTGCTGAGGGCTAGAGTAGTTTGTGCCCTGTTTAGGAAATCGTTTCATGGCAAACTGGGGCTCTGGTGCCTGGTTGTTTGAAGGGCAATACGTGCTCACCTGAGCAGCTACCCTGGGCAGAAACATCTGTAAGATCAAGCTGCTCGTGCACATAGGTAAAGAAGTGTGCGTCCTGCCCTGAAGACATCTTCATTGTGTTGTGAGAGTGCTTCACCACTGATTTCTTTCCTCCTGTTTAAGGCATTTGCTTTGGGAACTGTATCAACTTGTCAACATATGAGATCCCAAAATAGGCTTCCCAAGCCCTGGGTGAGGGTTGGCCGTGGAGCATCTGCTCCGTTCTGCATGTGGCAGGCTGCTTGTGGGGAGCATTGCTGGGGGCTATGGGTGCTGCCCTGTGGTGCTTTAGAGCTGTCATCACTGATGAATGGTGCTCAAGTTACTGCTGGGGGGTTATTTGAGTCTGGTACTGGCTTCATGCTGGAGGATACTCTGGGCTCCAGACAATGATACCAGCCGTTGTACTGGCTTGAAGCCACCACAGAAGCAGCAGATGAGTCCGTGCTGGTGTGGCAGTGGTGCAGGAGGACATGGAGGTGGCAATGGTGGTGTGTCTGGTGAGCACTGGTGCTGGCTGCACTCTGCTGTGTCATTGCAGGCTCTGTGCAGAAAACTGCAGCCACTACAGAGCGAGGTTGGGACCACGCTTGCTCTCTTCACCCTGGTAGAGCTTTTTCCACACCAGGCTGCATGAACTGCCCAGGGTGCCTTTTCTGTATGTGAAAGAATGGGAGTGTGACTGTTTTATGGCTGGCTCTCCACTGGCTCTGCTGACCTTTTGAAGGCAAGAAGTGCTGTTCCATACATTGGGGAGCTGTGATGCTCTCTAGGTTCCCGTGCCCTTGCTAGCTAGGAAGGTGTAAGGATTCAAGTCACTTAGTCTTTTCAGCACCAGTATGACCACAGGACATCTGGGCTGTGGTGGCATTTTGCTTTTAAAAACCCAAGGCAGCATGTTTATTAGGAAAAAACCCTTATGATGGCAGGGAAGAGAATTCCCTTGGTTTGGGGAGTGCAGGTTTCTTTTCTGATAAGCCTTTCAGTGTTGCAGGAGGGAAACCTGTGTTCCCTTAGCTGCTGACCCTCCTGATGGTCCCAAACTGAACATCCTTAGGAGCGAGATGTGGGTCCCAATTTGTGTTTGTAGCATCAAGCCCAAGCACTGAGAAGCACCTTTGAGTGTGCTCAGCTCTCAGTGTGCCTGAAAACCTCGGGGAGGATTAGGGTTTCCTAATGTTTGTTCATCACCCTGATCAGACAAATCTGTCAGGTTTAAGGTTTTACTTACTCTGCACCTTGGCAATTGGAGCAGGGCAGAAAGGGTGCTGTACAATGTGGATGGGCACTGCCAGAAGGGGTTTGGCAGCTCCATGCATCTGTGCAGGCAGGCAATGCCTGTGCTGCATGCCTTCCCCTGCCTGCTTATGATGCTCCAGGGTCGCAGCGCAGAACCTCACTGCACAGTGCCCAGGCAGCCGTGCTGTCTGGCTTCTGCTCTGTGTAACAGCCCTGTTTCCTATTGCTTTCCAATAACTGTTGTTTCTTGCTTCTTCAGCACCTCCAAGAAGCAGCAGGTAAGGTTCACACACCTGTGCCTGGCCCTTTCTGCTCCCAGATGAGCTGTTGCAGCAGAAGCCGAGCGAGGGGTTGTGGAGCTCAGGGGCAGTTCAGTGTCTGACTGCAGAACAGCAGCTGGACAATTTTTCTGCAGCTATAAATAAACACTGAATAAATGAGAAATGGATTTTCTTTAAGCCTGCCCGAAAAATCACTTCTCAGCTGTGACAAGTATGAAAAGTGTCAGCCCCAGGGCAGTGGAGCAGGGGGAACAAACAGCAGGGGCTCATCTAGATCTGTTCCTCTCTGAGCTCCCCTCTAGGACAAGCAGGACCTGTGGGTACCAGCACTCAGTCTGGGCTCTGTTTTCAGCAGACAGAGCAGCTTTTCCCCACAATGGCCTGGTGTTTTCCTCGGGGGAGACACTTGTGTGTTTCTAAAGTCATGCTTAAAGTGCAAGTTCAGCTCCAAAGAGGCCAGCTTGGGATGTGTAATTAACACTGAGATTTGTGCCAGTGGTAGACATCAATGGATTTGTGGGGTTTTTTTCCTCTCTCCTTTCCCCCCACCCTCTGTCCCCCAACTTCTCTGTATTATTTTGCTGCTCATTTGCTTGCAGTCTCTTTGGTGCTTCAGGACAGGTAGCAGTAGGTCTGCAAGCCGGTGAGATGCCATTTCTTTGCAGTAAGCTGCTGGGTGCCCTTGCCCTGCTCTAGGGAAGATCTCCCACTCCTCCTCCACATCCTTCCCCAGTTTAGGAGCCTTTTGTGGATGGCTGGTCTCTGTAGGCAAGCAGCAATGGACAGCAACGCTTGGGAATGTGGGGATTTCACAGGGCTGTCCTGGTGTTCAGTCTCCTCTGATTTCAGTGGGATTTTTGCCTTGGACATAGCCTCTGTATTTCTGGTCCTTTGCTTGTGAGCTCATCCCTGTCTGGGTGCCTTGTTCCCTGCAGCACTGCTGCCTGCTCCCCTCCATCGTTGCTGCCTTCTTTCCTACTTCCTCCAGGGGGTTTCTTAGAGCCTGGGTTTTTTCCCCCAAGGAGATTTGTGCAGACCTTGCTTTTGTGAGAATTATTGCTTCTCTCCAAGTTTGATGTTATATTCTGCTCTCTGGGCTGAAAAATGTGGACAAGTTGCTTTTCTGTTTAAGGAGATGTGATTTTGGGGGGTTGTTTTTGTTTTAGAGTCTCTCTGTGCATCTCACAAACTATTCCTATCTAATTTGGTTCTGGCTTGGATGAAACCTGCTTGGAAATGAGAACAAGGCTGAAATTGCAGTAATTTGGGGAAGCGTAGAAGAGCTTTGCTGGTGTCGAGTCTTATCTTCCTGGGCTCTCTTAGAGAAACTCAATTCAAATTATTGCACAGCTCATTTGTTCCCTCTGCTACCGGGTTCAGATGAAGTGGAGAAGCACTGATACTCCCGCATAGAATAAATGTCACTGTTCTTGTGGATCATTTCCATTGCCTATGGGCCTGTCCAACTATCGTCATCCTTTGTTTGCGTTTCTGGATACAGCATAAAAGAGTTTCCTGTTGTCTTCTGCATCCTGATTAGGAGTGATGGCTTCTGAGTGGGGGGTTTGTGGACACAGAGCTGGAGAACTTTCCCCCCCCTTGTTCTGGTGTACTTGTGGGGGAGTTTGGGCTGAGGTTTGTGACTAGGGAAACGGTTTCTCTTGGTTTCCCTGCTCAGAGAGGTGGTCTCTTGTTCCAGTCTGGCAGCTGGATGTGTGCTGATTTGTGCCTTAAAGGGCTCTTGCAAGTATCGCAGACAGTGAAAGCCTAATGGATCAGGCTGTATCGTATGGGCATGTTATGGCTAAGTGGAAGCCGTGATTCCAGTGAATATCAGCATCTGTCTGTTTTCTCCAGGATCTTTGGGAATTGTTAACGCTTCAAAGTAAGTCTCAAATGCACTGTGTGCTCTTTCAAAACAATGCTAAAAGGCTCTTGTGTTCCCACTGAGCAACATGTCCGAGGAAAGGTCTTCTGGAAAAAGACTATAAATAGCAGAGCCTTTCAGTTTCTGAAAACTCATTTCCATTAAGCAGATCCATGCACTGAGGAAGGGGTGGTACCTGAGCCTGGGTAGCAATGCTGAGCTGATTGGAATCAGAAACTAATTAAAACAAAGGAGAAAATACTGCAACAATGCAAGTTACTTTTCATCCCTGTCATAAAACCAGGAATTTGGCAGGGTGCTGAGCCCCTTTGGGATGGGGAGAGTCAAGATGGTTTGTGTTTCCTTCTGATCTGGAAGGGGCCATGCATGCAAACCTTGGGAACAAACATGATCTGGTTATCAAGTCTCATTACAAATCTCTGTTTGCATTAACAAATACCTTTCAGCTGCTTCTTCAGCATGCCTGCAACATCTCCTTTCTTCCTTTATAGCAGAGCCCTTCATGTCCATGTTTCTGTTTGGCAGGAAAAATGCCATTAGCGGGTAAGGAGCTGGGATTCCTGCAGCTTCCCCTCTGAGGATACTCTTTGCAATAGGTCATTGCACTGTCATGCTGCCCTAATACATGAGCATTTGCACCTGCTAGGAAAAGCAAGTCCACCATCCCCCTGGTGCGGCCCCAAGCAGTTGCATTCGGTCTTTTTATCATTGAAATAAAAATGACAATGACAGCAGAAAATGGTCGCTCTCTCTGGAGCTGGGCTAAGCTCTCCACTTCAAAGGTACTTTTGTAGCATCCCTGGAGTCTCTGATAAAGGAGCCTGCTCTGAAAGGCTGGCATCTCTCCTGGAGAGCTGGGAAGTGTGTGTCTTTAGGGGCGATATTTACGGCGTTAAAGGGCTCCAGGGAAATGGGAGCAAGAGTTCCAGCTTGTTTCTTTTCCTTTTATTTCCATAACTGCACAGGCATGTTTGCCTCTGGTCGCTGTTTTGGGTCGCTGGAGTGGGTTTTGGAGCTCTGGGCATGATTGCCAGGCATGCAGAGAGCACACAGTGCGGGGTTTGCTGCCTTCTCTCCAAAGCTCTCTCTGGGAGATGCAGCTCCACTGTGACTTGAGGATGGAGATTCCTGAAAGTCCCATTTAAAATGCCTTCTGTGCAAGAGCTCTGCAGTGAAAACCAATATCCCCTGCCCTGGCTTTGGGCTTCAAAAGTAATGATGTTTAAAGCATGTTTTATTAGGTCTGTTATTGGCATTTGGCTATCAGGGGAAGAGATGAAGTGATGTTCGGTGCTGGAACCTGCTCCAGTCTGTGGGGCTTGCTGTAAAGGGCTGGGCTTGCCACCTTCCTTCACATAGCTGGTGGCCACAGACTGGAGCTTGAGTTCAGGGTTGGGTTTCTATGTGGTTATTTTGTTGGTTTATTTTTTTGTCCCCTGAACAAAACCCCAGGATTCTGCTTTTTGTGTCAGTTTGTACAGGGCAGTTGATTCTGTTGTTAAAATCTTCCCTGTTCTGTTGCAGGCTCTGGTTTCCTGCCTGGCAGAGGCAGGGGAGCAGTCAGTGTTCAAGAAGCTGCTGAGCAAGGTGAAGGATGCTCAGCCCCTGGATGCTCAGCCCCTGGATGCTCAGACCCTCGTGTCTTTACTGAAGCTGTTTCAAGACACAAACCCCAAGCTGAAAGTGGTTTTGCTGGAGAGGGAACAGGGCAGTGGAGAAGCCCTGCAGCAAGGAGGTAGGGAATTGAGTGCAGCCACTGGCAAAGTGAGTGGGCAACCTTACAACCAAAGTGGGTCTCCAGAAACCCTGTGTCCTCACTCAGATGCAGGAGGTTTCTCTCATGCTCACCAAGATCCTGGAGCATTTCCATCGTGCAGCAGAGGGTGTGGGCAGCACAGGGCTCTCCCCATCACTGCCTGCAGGGCTGGATCGATCCATGGCTGCACGGGTCAGAGCACAGCTGAGCCTTGGGATTGAAAGCTCCTTTTTTACTTGAGTCTGACACAAAGCAGTGGCCTTGCAAACCTGGTGTTAACCTCCAGCTTGCTTTATGGCTTTGTGCTCTGTTAGATAAATGAGACATTTTCCTTTCATAGAGTTTAAAGAGAATAGTAAAGTGTTTTTCCTCTACTGCTTGTGCTTGGGATGAGCTTTGCTATTCACTTAGATCTTTCACAGAGTCTCACTCGCTTCGGGAGCCTGTCAGTTCCTTCAGACTGACTTTGTGTTTCTGAATCCTTTTTCCCCCTAGAGAGCACAGACGAGGGAGAGACGCTGACTGCTCGCTTGCTGGGATGCAGGGAGGAGCTGATCCAGAGCGTGACACAGCTGAGCCCCATCCTAGAGTTCTTGGAGGCAGCAGAAGAGGGATTCCTGACTGCCTCGGAGAAGCGGGTAAACCAATCTGAAATAAGGAAAGCTGTGGATGGGAGGGTGGGGGGCATCTGTGGGGCAGCATCTCACCGCTCGGTTTGCCAAGTGATGTGCTTGCCTCACCTGGTGATTTCATCTCCCTTCTGCACAGCATGGATTGCACAAGTGTTGTCTTGGGTCCTTCTGCACTGAGCTGTGGGGATGAGCTGAGCTGTGAAGGCAGCCTCAGGATGATCACAGCCTGGTGCAGTGTCAGATTGCCCTGCAAGCAGGGGAGGTGCCTGGTGCTTCTATAGACCCTGAAAATGCCTTTTTGTGAGCCAGCAGAAGGCTCTCTGGTGGTTTGGTTTCAGCAGAACCACTAATGACCTCTGTGCTGCCTGCTTGCTAATGAAGTCCTTGTGTAGGTGGTCATCAGCTTACCTTTCAGCTGACTATCCCAGTGTTAACTCTTTAACTCCTATCACACAGTTGCCTGCAAGAGCAGCACATCACTGACTGGCATGTTTAAAAGTATGTTTTTGATGTGTTGAATGCAGCAGTTGGGAGAACTGTTGCTTTCCTGCAGGCAGTTGCCTTATGTATACTGATTTGCAGAAGCCACAAAGAAGAAAAGATTGTTCTTTGTGAGGAGCTGGCTGTACCCCGCCTGTGCAGCTAAAACCTGTCAGGTGCCCTGGCAGGCTGTGTTCAGCATGCAGCCTGCACACCTCCTGTCTGATTTTCATGTCAACATAAGAAGGACATGGAGCTGCTGGAGCAAGTCCAGAGGAGGCCACGAGGATGCTCAGGGACTGGAGCATCTCCTGTATGGAGCCAGGCTGAGAACACTGGGGCTGTTCAGCCTGGAGAAGAGAAGCTGCGTGGAAACCTCAGAGCAGCTTCCAGTGTCTGAAGGGGGCTACAAGGATGCTGGAGAGGGACTCTTCATCAGGGACTGTAGTGATAGGACAAGGGGTAACAGGTTCAAACTGAAACAGGGGAAGTTCAGGTTAGAGATAAGGCAGAAGCTCTGCCCTGTGAAGGTGGTGAGGTGCTGGCACAGGGTGCCCAGAGAAGCTGTGGCTGCCCCATCCCTGGCCAGGTTGGATGGGGTTTGGAGCAAGCTGCTCTAGTGAAAGATGTCCCTTCCCGTGGAACTGGATGAGCTTTAAGGTCCCTTCCAACCCAAACCAGGCTGGGATTCTATGATTCTCCTGGTGGGCTGGGCTGAGACTGGCAGCTGATGAATTTTCCCCTCCCAGGGCAGCATGATTGAGCCTGGAATGGGGATGTGAGAGAATGGAGTGAGATGCATGTGCAGGAAAGGGCTCAGTGTCTGTTGGGGATATTGTGGCTGTCAGTAGAGACCTGCACGTTCGAGCCTAGCATTGAGCCATGAGAGCTGCATCAGCAGCAGGGAGATAATGATTTTTCATATATCCCTGTTCCCTTTCTCTGCACTCTTTTTTTCCTCATAAAATTAGGTAGTTAAAATACAGCCATTTTGAATCTCCCTTCTGTTGGAAATCAAGCAGACAAAAAACCCCAACCACCAATGCACCAAACCATTCTATTGCCATAGGTGTGCTCCTTGGGCACAGGATACAGCCTTGGATTGCATCATTGTATACTAAGAGACTCCAGCCTCATTTGGTGAAGGGGTGATGTTGTTGGCTATTTCTTAGCCTCTTCAGTCACTGTGTGCTCTGTTTGTCACAGAGACTCCAAACCCTGCTCCAGATACAAAATCCTTCTCTCCATGAGATCCCTTCATGCTCTTGTTTTAGCCCCCAGGTAATAATATTTGGGGAGCACTCCAGTGGGGCTGGGTGCATAGCTTTATCTCTGCTGTGGCACAGGAAAATACAGCAGAATTGCCAAGTGTAGAACGACCTCCGGGTGGTGGGGTTCCTTTTTTGCAGGCTTGCTTTATTTGTTTGGGGGGGTTTCTTATCCCCCAGACAAGTGGAAAAAGTGCTTAATTAGTTTAGGAATTAAACTGATTAAAACAGTGGGCCTGTGGCGTGTGTGCATTTGAGATCTCTGGTGTCTCAGCTGCAGCACTGGGGAAACAAAGATGGAATTAGCAGCCACCTCTGAAAGTTTCATCTTGCCTGATTGATCCAGCGTTGTGCTAGAGCTCTGGGCTGGCAGAGAGAAGATGTAGTTCTCCAAGGGTTCCTAAAGATGAGGCTTTCCTTTTTCTTCTCACACTAGCTACACTTTCATTAAGGAAGACAAGGGAGTTTTCAGTGTAACAGCCTTTTTTCTAGGGAACTGGGTTCTTCCTGTACCTGGCCCAAGAAGTGTATGGATCAAATCTGATTTTCTTTGCTGGAAAACCAGTATATGATCTGTTGTGAAGCCTCTTTGTAAAACCTTGGGTTTTGGGGGGCGATTTTACCTAGCATTTTGTGGTTTAACTTTGTGGCTTTATCAGTGTTTCTGTAGTGTGGGGAGGTAGGGTGGAGGATTTGGGGGATGGCTTGGATGCAGATTATCACTTAAAATGAATAAACTTAGTTACAAAGGAAGAGCAGGTAGCCTCTCACATGGGACAGCCTCTGTCCCATGGCTTAGGTTGTTGCAGAATTCAGAGCGACCAGTCCACAGCACTGAGCCTGGAGCAACGGAGTAGATGGTAGAAACCTTCATCCTTTCCTTCTGTCCAGGCTCTGTTCTAGAGGGGATGTGGGTATTTTGAGCTATGTGCTTTCCCTCCCCTTTAGCTCCAGTGTCTATGGAGCTTGATGCTTAAGCCAAACTGCTTCAGAGCTGGGACAGAGAATCATAGAATGGTTTGGGTTGGAAGGGATCTTAAAGATCGAGATCTGGAAATCCTGCTGCAGGCAGAATGGGGGGATGTTTTCTGACTGTCCCACCTATTGGTGTCAAACTAAGTCTTAAACTGTCAGTGCTGCATCTCCCACTGCCGTGGCCATCACTTCTGCATCTGTTGACGCTAGCCTGAGAGCAGTGGTAAGTTACAGCATGAGCATCCCCAAAAGGATGCTGCTTTTGTACCTGTTTGAGGACTTCAGACTGAGTGATCCAGAGTCAGCTCAGTGAGAATTAGATGGGAGGATATGTCAACAGGTTCACTGACGGAGTTTTGGCTACAAAAGGACAGCTCTTTAGAAATGAGAAAAACTAATTAGTGAGATCAGGTGGTGGTGAGTGCACAGGAGGAGCTGTTGGAGCAGTTTCTTTTATGTTAAAGGTAGGAGAACTGTCTGAAGTTTGCATCCTGAACAGGAGAGGAGATTTGTATGAGGGGTCACAGACCTGAGTGAATGGATAACTTGAGGAAGAGTATTAGGACCTACAGGGAATGGCTGAAATGTCCAATAGGCAGATAAATGTACTTTAGATATGAAGAGGGGCTTGTGGGTTATCAGGCATGACAGCAACAGGCATTTGTCCGACCAAGTAAAGAGAAAGAATAATGAGGAGATCCCCTGTAAAGTCACAGCTAAGCCTAGTGCCCAGTCTAGGAGAAAGACACAAACAGACACATCCTGCAGCTGAAGTGAGATCACAACTCAAGACAGGAAGAGCTGACACACACGGCTTTGAGAGTGACAGCAAGGTTTATTCCTGTATTTTCCAAGTTGAATGGTCCTTACCATTGATGACCAGGACAGAGATGTAAAAGCAAGCAGTTGTTTAGGCAGTCAGCTCTGTGTGTGCACAGGAATGTGTGTTGGGACAGGCGGGAGGGCACTGCGTGTAAGTAAAAAAAGGATAAAATGCAGCTCAAAATGTTCAAATTGCTTCTGCCTGACTTGGAATCTTCATTTGATGAGAGAAAATGTTTGGGGTTTTTTTCTGCCTCAGTCGAGATTTGAGCAAAGCATTTGAATTTCATGTGAGGAGATTGTTCAGCTAGAGGAAGTGGGTATGCTCAAAAGGATAAGTCTTATTGGGACTGAAGTGCAGACTGTGCTGAAGGCAAGACTGACAGGATGGAGCAAGGTTACTAGTGGGAATCTCGACACTTACTTAATATTAACACTAATGTTATTGACAGAAAAATACCAAAGCATGCTTAGGAGAGCTTGCTGATGAGCAAGACCAGCATCTTTTGTCCACACAGAGGAGGATCTGCAAGAGGGAGAAGAATTACATGGCTGGACAACTAAGTAGTGAGGATTGAATGTTGTGGTAGTCTGAAATGAAGGGTCTGTATTTGGATGTAGTTAATGAGAACTAAGAATTAAGACCTCATGAGAAATTTCTGTGTGCAGGTCCAGTTTTGTTCAAAGAAAGTGAACTCATGTTGAAGCAGAGACAGCTGCAGAAAAACTGGGGAGACAGGGGAAAAGACTGCCAGTTGACCAAGTATTTGCTGCAAATACTGAAGGAGATGCTGTTTTCACCCCATCTTTAAGTCTCTTTTTGTTTCCTTTTGAAAAGAAGCAGAAGTGGCTTGTCAGCCACTTCCAATAGTTAGACATAGCAGAAGAACCCACTGGGGTAGTTTTCAAGGTGACACATGTCAGATGTACCCGGGATGTGCTTAGGTGTTCCTGTAACTAGGACCTCATGACACCTCCCAGCTAATCAAATTAGGGGAAGCAGTAGGTATGGATTCCCTGCAGTCACGAGTACTGTGATGCTGTTCCTGTTTCTGTGATCTCTGTTCAGACCCTCAGGAGTTTGTAGGAAGCTCTCACAAACCGGTTCTTGGCTGTTTCTTTGCTGCAGGTGGTTTTGGATTGCTGTGGAGGCACCTCTCAGAGGGAAGCCGTGGACAATCTCCTCAGGAAGGTGGATGAAGAGAAAACCCTAAAAGTTGAAAGTTTGGTCAAACTTCTTGGGGCTATGAAAGCATCCTTCCCTGGTCTCCACCTTGTGCTGGACAACTTAGTGGCAACAGCAGATGTCTCTGATGGCAAAGGTATGGGTATACTAAGCTTCAGAACCTGGGGACTCAGTTCAGGGAATTGCCAGGAAGGTTGTGTGCTTGTCTGGACTTCAGCATGCTCTTACAGTCTTGCTTTCATCTAAGGTAATGGCTTGGCTATTATAATTCAAACCAAAATGGTCTGGGAGCACTGGGGTAGGAGCACTATGCCAGGAAGAAGGCCCCTGCTTTGCAATGTAATGAGCAGTGTGGGGCAGGAGCCTCTTGGCTCCATCCTTTTAGTTTGACACTGATAGGGTAGAAACTAGGATGTCATCTCTGGAAGACAGGAGAACTGTTCCCTCCAGTGTCAAACTAATTTTTGGTTTTGAGTTATTTAAAAGCAGCAGCATGAGTCTCCATATTAAACAGAATAATTTTCACAGAGGAAATGCTTCACAGGTTGAAGGTATCTTTACCAAACCCTGGTCCATTGGTGACTTTGTGGTACTTGGTGGCTTTGAAAGCAAATACCTAAAAACTCCCCAAAGTCAGTCTTGACATTAAATACAGACAGTGTCTTACCTGCTTGCTGTCCTTGTGAATTCCTTGTGATTGAGGGAGATTGTGGGGCTGAGATTAGTTGGGCTGAGCTCCTATCCTCGATCCAGGTCGCATTTCTGCACAGTGTGGTTGCTGACTCGTGGTCTGCTGTGTGGAGCAGAATGTGCTGATGGGAAACCCACACATACTGTCTCCATTAGACATAGTTATCTTGGACATTAAGTCCCCTCCTGTTTGTTTTGGTGGGGGTTTATTATTCATTGCCTGCCCGCGGTGGGTCGGGGGCTCCTGAGATGCATAGTGGGACAGCTTTCCAAGGTCTGGCTTTAGGCACATCCCTGAGCAATTCCGAGGGAGAGGCAAATTTCACCACCTCTGAAGTCACATAAAAATTAAAAACTAAATTAATATGCAGTGAAATGTAAATGAGTGTTTAATAGAAAGCAAAACTGTGCTCATAATGCTGATAATTTCCTCTGTAGCAAACGTTCCCGACAGGCAGTTTGCTTTGTCATTTGTTAAGCACGATTGCTTTCTTAAAACACCAGACTCCCAACATGGTTAATTATCTAGTGGTAATACCCAGTGCAAGGAGGAGCATTCCTTAATTACACAGAGCTGAATCTCCTCAAATTGCAGCTTGAACAAACAGAAGCACAAATATTTCTTATCGTGCAAATGAAGAGGGAGGGAATGATTTGAGCCACTGGTGGCATCTTTTGATGTCCTGTGCTGTCCTGCTAGCAGAAAGGAGGATGTCCTGACAGTGGTGCAGGATGTGCTCAGGTGATGGAGCTCACCTTGGTACAGCAGCAGAGCTGAGAGCACTTTCCTCACGACTGAAATTTAGGTAATGAAATCAGAAACATTCTGATGGGAGAAGAGAGGAAATAGTTTTCATTTGTAAACCATCCTCTGATCCCTGTGGGGCACATCCAAGTCATACCTAAACCCTACGGAGCTCAAGTGCTTAATGAGTTTCCTTTAGCTCTGCTGGGGAGTAACTCATGCCTCCAAGAAATCTTTGGATTTCAGGGAGTTTTTCCATATTGGCTTAAAATCTTGCATTGATAAGTCCCAGAGCCTCCCACTATCTCCTTCCCCATCCTGGAGAGCTTTCTTCTCTTACCCACCACTGTGTGTCTTCTGGTTCCCAAGCCTGTGTTTTCTTTTCACCAAGCTGTCTGTATTTAGCTGCTGTGCTGTGTGAACAGTCGATTGTTCTGTTTGGTAGTGCACCAAAATGATGAAAAGACCTAAACACACACAGAAAACGTGCACAGATGTCTTGGATGAACTACAGATTTTGGTTTCTTCTATAAAAGTGTAACTATGCATCTTCTCCCATTTAGTAACTCCAACAGTGAAAAGAATCCTTTTCCGATTCATCTATTTGGCAATTTCCAGTTTTATTTCTGAAATAATCTAGTGACAAGTACAATTGTATATTACTTTTGGTACATGGTGTACTTTGCCTGTGTCTCCCGTTTTCCTGTATAAACACTGTTCCCCTTTCTTGAATTCTGCAGAAGTCAAGAGTGGGTTCTCTATAACTATATGAATGGGGGAAGAAGAAATCCTGAGTCTTGGGAGAACTGCTTCTTGAGGTTGTCACTGTCTCTTTCAGCAACATGCCTTGGAAAACCTGATTTTCTCACCCAAAGTTGGACAAGCAGTGAGAAGCAAGGTCTGCCTAGGGTTTTATGCTGGATGTCAGTGCTGCATTTACTATAACCAAAACTTGCCTGCAGTTGTTTGCTGTTTCCTGTGCCCTAAAGAAGTCATTCCTGCTGTTAAGAGGAGTGGACTGGACAAAACTAAGCAAAGTTGAGGCCTGAAGTTCTCCTTGCATTTTGTGTTTTTAAATATCTTTACTTTTCCTTCTCAGTGGCCAACAGCAAGAGCACAGCCGTTGAGATCATCCTGCGGCACAGCAAGCTGATCACAGAGGCCATCCAGAAAAGAGGGGACCTGGAGAGCTTGGCCCCAGAGGAGGCAGGACTCACTGAAGCAGTAAAAGAGGTACAAGGAGATGCTGGTGTGGTTCAGAGTTCAAGGGGTGGGTGGACAGGCCCTCGTGTGCACTCGAATCAAGGGACATTACTTAGGTTGGGGAAGCCATCCAATGTTGGAGGTGCCCTTCTGCTGCAGTGAGAGTGTGTTGGGTGTGTTATATAAATCCTGTGGGAGTTTTGGGGTAAAAGAAATTGCCAGTGAGATTCTCAGTTTGTGAAATCGTGGATGTTCAAACACAGCAAAACTGCTTCAGCTCTGCAAGGGTGTGAAGGGAAAGCAGAGCTGCCAGGGAGTGTGTGTCCGTTTCAGTTGTCTGTTCCAGGATATGTGAGAATGAAACGCTCCTAGAAAGTGCACTGAGGATGCCATGATTGTGTAGCAGCCCAGAGTGCTTTGCCTCTTTTCCCTTTGACAAGGAAAACTTGCTGTGTTGGTAACGAGCTAGCCTTTTCCACCTAGCAGTCTCCGGTTGCTCATTCCTGCTCCAGTAGCTGCTGCTGGAGATCTGGATGGGTGAGATACGTATGGGCATGCACAGATTCTTGCCTTGGGTTTCCTTGCAGTGCTGGACTGAACCAGGCTTGGGTTTGGAAAGTAAAGCCCAGAGACAGGAAAGCTGTGTGTGAAGTACAGGTTTATGAGTTAGGGAAGCTTGTAACGCTGTAAGGCATTGAGGAGCTGCTCTTTCCATAGGGAGGTGGGTTTTATACAATCATAGACTAGTTAGGGTTGGAAAGGACCTTAAGATCATCTAGTTCCAACCCTCCTGCCATGGGCAGGGACACCTCACACTAACCCATCTCACTCAAGGCTCTGTCCATCCTGGCCTTGAACACTGCCAGGGATGGAGCATTCACAGCCTCCCTGGGCAGCCCATTCCAGTGCCTCACCACCCTTACAATAAAGAATTTCCTCCTTATATCCAATCTAAACTTCCCCTGTTTCAGTTTGAACCCGTTACCCCTTGTCCTATCACTGCAGTCCCTGATGAAGAGTCCATCCCCAGCATCCCTATAGCCCCCCTTCAGATACTGGAAGGCTGCTCTGAGGTCTCCACGCAGCTTCTCTTCTCCAGGCTGAACAGCCGTAACTTTCTCAGCCTGTCTCCATACAGGAGGTGCTCCAGCCCCTGATCATCCTCGTGGCCTCCTCTGGACTTGTTCAGTGAGCTAATAACAGAGTGTGAAAATTTCATTTGTTGTAACTTTTTTAATCCTGAAATTCCCTCCACTCATGCACATGCATCAGTGGAGGGGCAAAGACCTGTATGGAAAGGGGTTTCATTTCTGGTTTCTCAAAGCAGGTTCCCAGCAGTAGAGATGAAACAAAGAGGATGTGCCCCCATCCCGACCTTTTACAGCTCAAAATCTCTATCATGTGATGTTTTCTTCATCTTACTTCTCCAGCTGCTGAGTATTTCTGCTCAGGAGGGAAGTTCAGAGGCCTCCTTGAAAGCAGCCCTGAGCACAGCCCAGGAGAAGTCTGTCCTGGCCATCAAGATCTGTCAGCTGCTGTGCAACGTCCATGAGTCCTTCCCAGACCTGCAGCCAGTGATGCAGGAGCTGGGGCATGTGGGTAAGTAAAGCACAAGTTTTTGTCCTTCTGTGGACTTTTAGACATGGTTATAGGAGTCATGGGCAGTTTGATAGTGGACCTCAGTGTCCTTCCTGTCATTTCACAGAACTACCCCTGGCCAGATGTTGGGGTTGTAATTATAGGAGGATTCACAGGGGTAACCCCTTGGATCCAAGCACTGGAAAGTGCTTTTCTCCAGCTGGCAAAATGCATCTTATTAATGTTTTGTACTTTACAAGGGTTGTGGAGACCATGATTGAGCCCAGACTGGTATTCCTTACCTGCCTTTACAGTTCTACACCTCAGCCCTTGCTCTGGAGGCATTGAAGCCACTTACCTATGTAATTTGTATCTATATTGGCTTATTTTGCATAATTATTATCTTGAGTTTCTTTTGCTCTTCCTGTGCTGTTGGATCTGTGTGAGTTTGGGCTTGTATTACAGTGTGTGTGTAGATACTTCACAGGCTCATTGCAGAAAGGTCATGTCAGGGCATGCTTGTCTTGTGCAAAGATGAACATGATGGTGCAGTTTGTAGTCCCAGACTATTTTCTATGTTAACTTTCTTATAGTGCCTTAATTTGGTCTTACTATATATACACTTTACAGAGCAATTGATCCCCTGGGAGGGTCCCATAGCAGTAGGGGAATGTTACATTCTGCACTAGTTTGGCAAAGGGCTGAGCAAAACATACGCCGAGAGCAATTTGGTGAGCTTCAGAAAACAAATGCATGGCAGTAACCATGTGTGAAACCCTGCCCTGAGCTGTGGGATGCTTTCAGCAGAGCCAAATTGAATCTGTGCATCTGACATTTGAATGCAGAATGCTTAACAGAATAATTTGGTGCTTTAATGAAAAAGATAACAGAGGGCCAGGAAGCTAAGTGCAGGTTTGCGTTCTCTTGAAAAGGATGCAAATGGGACTTGCTTATTCTGTTTGTTCACAGACATTTTTATGGCATTGTATTTCCCAGCGTATCCAGATTCTTTGGGCTGCAGAGTCCACTGGGATGTACATGGTGGGATTTTTATCCAAGCACAGGCACTGGTTCAATCCATCCCTATTTACTTGTGGGGCCAGAGCTTCTTAGCTGATAGAAATACTAGCAGACTGGTAGATAGTAGAGCAAGCAGGTTGTTGTTAATGTCTCATCTTTTCTTAGGGATTGAAGATTTGATTTGCTTTGTCTGAACGTTTGGGTCAGGTCCATGACTGGTCTGTATGAATGAACATGAGCCTTGTGGCTTTGACACTTGCCATCGTTTCGTGTTTGACAGTGACAGGCAAAGCCAGTTTTCCCTGTGTGCTAGGAAGGACCAGAGGGTGACCTGCCCCTAGGATACCCTCAAGGTTTGTTGGCTTGCCTCTGCTCTTGAGCAATGAGGGAATGTTTTTGGGGTGGTGGATGCTACTGGGTGACTGGGACCAGTGCATGTATAGAAGAAACCAAGGATGTGTGTTACTGCCCTAGCTGTAGGTCTCAGAAGCTGATAACACATGCTCTGCTCCTCTTTCTTGACTCAGTGGCCTTAGTGGTCTCCCTGAGAGATGTCCTACATTGTAGGATACACCCAGTATTCATGGCCAGTTTAGATCTAGGTCCTCTCTCCTAACTCCACTAGGAGCTGACACCATTCCAGCTGGCTTTTTCACCATGTCATGATTCTGATGAGGAATTGCAGAGAAAAGGTGGTTCATTCTTATCTTCCATTCCATCTCTGTCTCCTTCTGATGCTGCAGGCACTTGTCCCATTCCCCTTGACCCTATCTGGCCATGGGATGTGCTAGGGCTGTTTCCCTGGTGATTCTAGAGGAGCTAATACAAGCAGAGTTGCACATGCCTGTGAATGTGCAGCCCACCTTAGCTCCTGGACACCTTGCAGTGCTCAGCAGCAGGGGAGTCAGCTACATTACTCTGGCAGATGCCTGTGTCTCTGGCACCAATATCAAAGAGAGCAGACTGCTGTTACTAAGTGTCTTTGCAGGGCTTCAAGCCAAGGTTGAGATGAAATCAAGCAAGGAGCAATATCAAAACCAAAAGCCCTGGGAAAAATGGTATTTACTTGGCAAAAAGATATATTCTGTGTGAAGTGTCTGGAGGAAAATTGCCAGTTACTGGCCCCTTTTTGGCATCCCACAGTGAGCTTCCATATCTTAATTTCTAGGTCAGTCTCCTTAGCTCAGATATTGCTGCTTACCAGACCTAATTGTTGCAGGTGGCTCTTAGCATGAGATATGAATGATAACTGTGGGCCTCATGTTTGAGGGCTGTGAGTTTCCACCTGAAACGGGGATCTTACATTTCTGAAGAGCATACATGCTGTTCACAGTTTGCATTTCCACTTGAAAGCAACAGTTTTTACATCTCTACCATGCAAAACCCAAAAAGGGGTGAGCTGAAGCACTTGGAAAGCACAAGGCATCCCTGTGGAGGAAACTGCCTACACCCATCCCCAGCAACACTCAGCATTATCAAAGTACAGGGTTGGTTTCTTTGGTGAAGGTACAATGTGAAATCTGTTAACTTCTCCTTCCTCCTCCTCTCTCTGGCTCCTTCAGTAGCCAGAGCACTTCCCTGTTGACAGCTGGTGCATGTAATGATGAGGTTTGGTTCTTCCAGCCAACTCTGTAACTCCTCTCTAGCCATCTGCTTTTTCTCCATACAGTCACTTCTGGGGGTATCATGTTTGTCACGATATGTCTCACTTTCAAATCTCAGAGATGCAAGGAACTCCAGCAGAAAAGCTTTTCCTCTGTATAGTCTTGTGTTTAAAAAAGACAGCACCTCACTTAGGCCAGAGTCAGCCTCTAGAATCGTGAAATTGGAGGGTCTGCAAGCAAAATGATATTCTTTCCTGTGAAAGGTATGCATTAGAAGCCACCATGCATGTCAGGAAACATTGGATGACCCTCAAGATGCAAAGGGATAGGTGGAATTTTCTTCCAGCTTAAGCTGAAGAGGTGGGAGATGGGATGATCACACATCAAGAGATCTCTTTCTGGAGTTCTGCAGGGAGGGTAGGGCAGCCACCAGGGTTACAGATGCTGAAGGCCACTTACAAAAGGGAAAGAGAACTTAGTGTGAAATACCCCATAATTAACAGCAAGGTTTTCTTCTGGTGCTAAATTTCTGCCACCAGTGTCTGTCACTGGAAAGTGACACAAAATCCAGAGGCCACGAGGACCCCACAGGTGGGAATCCCTGTCTGGGACCTTTCTGGTGTATGTTTACCCTTGGTCTCTGTCTGTCAGGGGCATGGCCAAGGCATGCTAAGTTCTTGCCCCTAAAACTTGATGTGCAGTCACTTCTCAATCTGGTCTTATTTCCCATGGGAGCACTCAGGTTTACCTCCAAGCTTCCTTCATCTCCAAGGACAGAAGTTGACTGGGTTGACATCTGTTGCTGATGTTGCTCAATCAAGGTATGAAGTGTTGTGTTCATCCATAGGAGGGGTTCTGGGAGACATCCTGGCTGCCATGTGGGACACAGTTGCTGTCCTGACATAGCAGTGCCGTGTGTCACCACTTCTGTTCAGGCAGCAGCCACTCTGATACTTGCTCCATTCAAGGAACCTGCAAGTTCAGCACCCTGACACCTGACCTTACTGTCACAGCAGCTGTGTGTCATGCAGTTCAGCATGCCTCCTCTCATGTTTCATGTGGTCTGCTTCAGCTTTCCTTCAAAATGATTCCCTGGGAGTAGTAGCATCCCCCTGAAGATGGGGACCTGTTCCTGGTGCCCCTTTATGCATTTCCTCATGAAGGTGGACTCGAGAGCTGCCTGTGCTTTTGCACCATTACAGTCCTGTGCTGTTGTCCAAGCTAAAGGTTTGTAATCCTGAGCAACATTTTCACATGCATAAGAGCAGTAGGACCTCGAGGTGCCTCTTGGTGCACTGGGGTCTGTGGCAAAACTCTGTTTCACCTGCCTCAGATTACACCCCTGCTGCCATGGCACTGCTTCTAGACATTTCCAGTGTTGGTTTCCTTAGTGCTCATCTCTTCATCCACATCCATCCTGCACAACAAGATGACTCTTTCTGGTGTTTAACATTTCTGGGAGGTTTAAAGATGCTTCTTCACTTGGCAGTGTTGGTTGTAGGGAATGTGGGAAGAAACCTTAGAGGTGAAAGGTGTGTGTTGCTATCTTGACAGAGAGGGGCAGACTGCAAACTTGTCATCCAGTCTGTTTTTCTCCCTCAGTGTGTTCACAGATTGATGGGTCACTGCCACTTGAAGTATTAAGATTTCCAAGTCTGTTGGACTGTCTAACCTGGTTTTTACTTGGCTGGAAATCCAGGGCAGTAGCACTGTGCAGGGAGGACACTTTGCTGAGCTCTTCCCATAGTGAGGAAGGCAGAAAGGAAGTTTTGCAGGCACAGGCTTAATTTCCTGTGTGTTGGCGAAAGGAGAAGTCTGCACTGGTTTCCATGGTCACGCAGTTGCATGGTTTTCATTAGAGCAAAGAAGCCAAATGTATCTGTTTGTATTTTGATTCCTTCCATATGTACATTCCCTGTGGGTCTTTTCTGTAGATTGAGATTCTAGGTGAATTTTCCAGCTTTTGCTTTTTGAGATGATGAAGTTACAGGGACTGAGGAAAGCATTAGGCTCTGTAAGAAATGAATGTAATGAGCGATTCAGAATACCTCAGGGCCCTAACCAGAACACTTAAAAGGGTTGTAGCAAGATTATCTGTTCTCTTTCTAAGTTTGTGTTTGGGAAGTGTTCCTGAGAGTTCTTGTGATTAATGGCTAGATATCCACTCTCTATGGCAGACTTAGTATCATACCTGATGCTCAGACCTTCAGACATTTAAGCACCCCTGTAACTTCATGTTAGGAGGCTGATGCTTGCAAACAACAGTTGTTGGTGCTTGAGGAGCAAGCTGCTTGGAAAATCAGGCTCTTGCCACCTCATCCAGCCCCTGGTATTGTGGATGAAGAAAGCCATGGACCAGGGGTGTGATTTCATGCATCCTACCGTGCATGACCATGGCTGCTTTTGGGTAGAGGCACGGACAACCGCTTTGAAGGGGACAATGTGTCTGATATGTGTCTGTTATTGCTGTGCAGGCACAACTGTGAGTGTAAGAGCATTCAGGAGATAGGAGACCGAGGGGCTGGTGCCCAGTCCTGCTGGTCACCACCAAAACAGGACTTGCTATTCCTGTAGGTCTCTTGACTGAGGGAACTGGGGAGAAGCCTGGGATTAGGAAGTGGAAGGTGAACAGTAAATCCCAAGTTGAAGCCCTGGACAAAGATGAGGACAAGGCAGGAGGTGCTGGTGCCAAGGAACCGAAGGAACCCCATGAAAAACCTTCTTCCAAGAAGAGTTTTGTCTGCAAAGCCTGTGATAAGACCTTCCATTTCTACTGCCGCCTGAAGGTGCACATGAAACGTTGTCGGGTGGCCAGAGGGAAGCAAATCCAGTGTAAGGAGTGCAGTGAGGTCAAATCGACAAAGAAGGAGCTGGAGGAGCATCAGCTGGAGGTCCACAGTGTGGTGGGGATGGTCAAGAAGAAGAAGAAGCGGCTCCCTGTGACGTGTGACATCTGTGGCCGAGAGTTTGCTCATGCCTCAGGTAGGGTTGGTGGGAGCAGGGGCATTTGGACAGAAGCCTGGGCAACATAGTAAAGAGATAGTTAGAAATCTCCTCCTCCTCCCTGGGCTCTGTGAGCATCATGTGTGAGAAATGCAGCTCGGCTCATTTCTCCTGCCCCACTGAGCACAACCGCTTTCTGATTAGCTCTTCCTAATTGGTTTTCCACATGGCTCATCAAGGAAAAGTGGGGCTACTGGCACATTTAAAAGCCTCCAAAAATAATCAAGCTGTTCCAGTTCTGTGACTGGTTTAGCTGGATGAATAAGAGGAATTGAGTCTCTTTCCCTCCCTGTGGCAGCTCATGATATCCCCGTGGACCCCTGGTGTCACAGGTGGGTTGATGGACCTCCAGGCTAGGTGGAGTGGTGCCTTTGCAGCAGGGGTAGGCAGGGCTGGCCCTGTGTGTCCCACCAGTGCCATCTCAGTGTCCTGCCTGCCTCCACAGGGATGCAGTACCACAAGCTGACGGAGCACTTCGATGGGAAGCCCTTCTCCTGCAAGGAATGCGGGGCCAAGTTTGCAGCCAACTCCACGCTGAAGAACCACGTGCGGCTGCACACTGGGGACCGGCCCTTCGTGTGCAAGCACTGCCTGATGACCTTCATGCAGGCCTCGGCCCTTGCCTACCACACCAAGAAGAAACATGCTGAGGGTGAGCCTTCCCCATGGAACCCAGCCACGGGCTTAGCTTGCTCCATCCATGCCCCTGTGCCCTGTTGCTCCATCTGCCTCCGGGCTGCTTCTCCATCCTTTGGGCAGCACCTCCTTCACCTGCATGATTTTGCTTGCTGTTTCCCACTCTATCTTTCCCCCATCCCCTTCCCTGTATCATCCAAATAGCTACCCAGTATGCTCTTCATTAAGGGGGTCTTCATTCTCTTCCTTCCTTGTTCTTCTCCTGAGTAGCTCCTCTCTGTTCCCTTACTCCTGCAATACTTCCTCCTCCCTCTAGTTAACTTTCTTTCTCCTGTCCCTCCCTCTGGCTGAATTTCACACAGTTCTTCATGCCAGTGCTTCTCCGGCCCCCACACTCAGCCCCATGCACTACTGGTGCCTCTTCCAGCTCATGGGCACAGAGGATGCATTGCTGTGTTTGTGATAAACACACTTGGGTTTCTTTCCCACTGTTGCTCAAGTGTGATGCAGCTGGGCAGTATTGAACATGGGACCCTTAGTGACATGGTTTAGTGGTGGACTTGGCAGTCCTGGGGGAGCAGTTGGACTTGATGATCTTAAAGGTCTTTGACTCTATGATTCTATGAGACACACCAGCGTGTACTACCTCTAGAAGTGTATAATACCTCCAGATACTTAAGGTCTGTGCAGGTGTGGTCTTCCCCAGCACCTCTAGGACCTTTCTGACCCTGCACTGAGATGCTCTGGCTACCTCAGGAGAGCCACATTGTCCACTTTATCATCTCTTCCCTCTCCCTTTGAAATTAGGCATAGTCCAGAGAGAGCTCCTGTCCTGTTAGTGCAGGCTCTCACCCTGGTGTCACTGCAGGGAAGATGTACGCCTGCCAGTACTGCGACGCCGTGTTCGCCCAGTCCATCGAGCTGTCACGCCACGTCCGCACGCACACCGGGGACAAGCCCTACGTCTGCCGGGAATGTGGGAAAGGTTTCCGCCAGGCCAACGGGCTCTCCATCCACCTCCGCACCTTCCACAGTGAGTGTGGTCAGCGGCATTCCTGCCTTGGGCAAACCAGCCTTGCGGGGTCATGGCAGGCTCATCTGTGCCAGTGGAGGCTTATGGGGGTGTTATGGTGCCTGCAGGCTGGCTGCATGTCTTGTGATGGGATTTTTTCCACTCAAGAAAAGCAGGAAAATTTAGTGTTTTGTTGCTGTGAGTAGAGTTATCCCAAGGAAAACGGGAGGAATGGCTTCCAGCAAGCTGCTGCCACCCCACCATAAGAAGTTGTAGGTGAGCAGGAGCAGCAAAATCTCTATGCAAAGTGCTAGTGTTCATTTGGGATTTCTTCCCTTTTTCTTTCCTCCCTCTGTGAATTCCTCTCTTAATTCTTCTCATCTTTATTTCTTTGCCCTGTGTTTTCTGTTGTGTCTCTGGGCGGCAGACATTGAAGATCCCTATGACTGCAGGAAGTGCCGGATGAGCTTTGCCACCCTGCAGGAGCACCGCAAGCACGTCCATGAAGCCCACTCTCGGGAATACCACCCCTGCCCGACCTGCTCCAAAGTGTTCAGTGCCCCATCACTCCTGGAGCGCCACATGGTGACCCATGTTGGGGGAAAGCCCTTTAGCTGTGAGATCTGTGATAAAGCTTACCAGGTGAGGGACAGCAAGGGTTTGGTTTCGTGTGCTGGAGGTTGTCATGGCCTGTTCCTGCACCAGGCTGTGGCCATGCATGCCTCATGCAGCAGTTTGGGGTCTGCAGAGGTGAAGATTGCACAGAGGAGGTAGAGTCCATAGGGAAAAGATAGGTCCATAGCATCATAGAATCAACTAGGTTGGAAAGGACCTTCAAGGATCATAAAGTCCATCCTTTACCGCAGGACTGCCAAGTCCATGATGAGAGATGGGCTGTGACTGTCAACGTGCCTGCCCACCTGGAGCCTCAGGAATCTTTCACCCAAGGTTCTAGCTGCCAGGAAGTGTAGGAATAAAACGCTTGTTTTGCAAATGGCATGCCTCAGTGGGAGTAAGTGTGGGAGCATGTTCCTAGTAGGGAACAAAAATTCACACCAAAAGGAGATCTGCAGCAAGTGAGATCAGGATGAGAGATTGTTCACTGAAGGGCAGTATTCATCTCTTCAGGGGCAATGGAGAACAGAAGCGAGGTGTTGGGTCTGTTCCTGTGGGAGGATGAGCAGGTCTTGTAGCTGCTGAGCACAACCCCACTGATGGTGTTGCTTCCCAGTTTCTTGCTGTCATGACACCCCTGGAACAGCTTTGGTTTGTAACCATGATTTGATCCTTATCATTGCAGCAATTGTCAGGGTTATGGTACCACAACCGGACCCACCACCCCGACATCTTTGCAGCTCAGAACCACCGCTCCTCCAAGTTCTCCTCCCTGCAGTGCAGCTCCTGTGACAAAACCTTCTCCAGCACTGCCGCTCACCGAAAGCACGTCAAGGCAGAGCACACAGGTAATGGCCCATTCGTCAGCAAACACAACCACATGGTGACTGCTGGGAGAGGCGTAGTAATAACTGTGACAGGACAAGGCTGCACACCCCCTTTACCTGCAAATCACAGTAGATTCTTTGTGTACTGTAGCAGTCTCTTCTGGCAAGTCTCACCTCAGCACATTGCAGCTCACTTGCTCTTGGCCTCTCCTTTTCTGCCTTCTCTCCAGAGATGCTCCTCTGTATGTGCTTGTGGTGTTGCTGAAGTATTAACAGAGCCCTGGTCCAGAAGGTCTCTTTGTAGACCTTGGGAGCACCCATTTCTGATCTTGGCTTTGTTTGCAGATGTGAAGTTCCATGAGTGTGAGACATGCAAGGAACGTTTCCCTACCCTGGCCCTCCTGCAGGTCCATGTGAAGTGCAGGCACTCAGGTCTGTTGCATCTGCTGTTGTTCATGTTACCCTGTGGGCAATGACTGCTCCTCTCAGTGTATAAGTGATGTCTAAGCTCTAAGCAGGAGTGTGAAGATGGACATGGTAAAGAAACAGGGTGTGAGGAAACAGAAAACATGGATGAACTGAAAAAGCATCAGTTTTGGTGAGGCTGGCACATGTTTGTTAATCTTCTGGAGCCACTGAGTCAAGGAAGGTTCTGGGTTTACTTGTTATAGCATAGAAGGGAGCTAAGCATAGGTGAGGAGACATGAGCACAGAGAAACAAGGAACTGAGCCCCGAGTACTGGAGTTTGTAGAGGATGGTGGTAATGAGAAATGGAGAAAAATGGATTTAACCATCAGAAAGATCAGAGAGGGACCTGGGCTGTGAGGGCAGTGAACTGGCAGACCAGACCACTATGAAAGGTGGGTCTCCAGGGCTGTGCATGGGATAGCAGCATCAGGAGACATTGGAGGGGGCAGCCAACAGCAGCCAGGAGAGTGGGGAAGGAGGAGACTTGCACATAGCTCTCTCTGAGAGGAGAAAGCCCCTGGGGTGTATAGTGGGTTTGCAATAACTGCATCAGGAAGTGCAAGCTAGGCTGATAAAGAGGAGTGCTGAGTGGTGCAGGAAATAGCAAGAAGAGAATACTGTGAGAAGGGACAGCCACAGCTACAGCCAGGTACATCAGCCTGGTTTCTGCACATGGTGTTGCAGGGAGCTAGAGCTAAAGTGGACCTGAACAGCTACAAGCTAGGAGGAAAAGGGATGCTAGCAGATGCTGTGCCTGAGTCCCTGGTGGGTTTCAGCCCTGCATGTCCTGGCTGTGCACCTGCAGCTCCCTGTGCCCTTGGGCTGGTTCTACTCCTCCCATCCCAGGCTCAGGATGTTGCTTCTCCTCCCAGGCTCACAGCCCTTCCGTTGTCTGTACTGCTCCGCATCCTTCCACCTCCCCGGGGCCCTGCAGAGCCACGTCACCAGCGAGCACTTCAAGCAGAAGGAGAGCACCTTCCCCTGCGAGCTCTGTGGGGAGCTCTTCCCATCCCAGGGCGAGCTGGAGGAGCACTGCAGCGCTGAGCATCCCAAGGTGCTCTTCTCCCAAGCCACCACAGCCCAGGTTGTGCAGGTAAAGACTGCTGTATGCCTCACCTCCCACAGTTATTATCCATCCTCCACCTCCAACCTCCTGCTTCTTCCCAGATCCATCCTGTGGCTCCTGTCACCCCTTCTGCTCCCTGATTCCCCCTTCCTGGAGGAGTCCAGGGTGTGAACTCCACAGCCCACAGTGCTCTAGGATTTCTGTGCTAGTGTGAGGTGGGCTCACTGAAGGAGAAGCAGCTTAGTCCTGGTTTTCAGGAGCTTAGGAAGAGGGACCACTAGTGTATGCAGAGGTCCTTGGTCACTGAGAGGCTATTAAAAGTCAAGTGACATACCCTGTGAGATTATAGCTGTTTTGTTGGAGGCCAAATGTTGGGCTTGAACTAGATTCTTCTGTGTCTCAGCCTTCAGTGAAGAATAGCTCCTTGGATGAGGGAGCCCAGTGATTCCCTGGGCTGGCATTCCTCCAGCAGATAATCACAGAGTGTTTATTGTCAGCCATTGCTTATGGAGCTAAATAATAGCAATTTTATGGAGAGAAATATTTAAATTGCTCTCCTGTCTTCTCTTTTGCATCATTGGTGTGTGTGGTTTAGTGTTTCCCACTAGTCTCACACCTACTGTAATTGCACACCTCTGGTGTGAAGCTAAATGTTATTACCAGAACTGGGGCTGGGAAAGATGTGAGCAGCAGAGTGGGTATGGGGGGAAGTGGTGCTGGAAGTGTCTGACTCTGGTCATCTTCCACGCAGGTGATTCAGACGTCGGAGCAAGGAGCAGCAGAGCACATCATCTCTTTCGATGACGTCCAGCTTGCTGGCTCCCAGGTCTTTGTGACGTTGCCTGAATCTCAAGTGAGCCAAACTGGCTCTGAGCTGGTGGCAGTGACTATGGAGGACTTGTTTGATGACAAAATCATGCTGATTTGTGAAGAAACCAAGTGAGAGTGAGCAGCGGGTGCCCATGCAGGGCCCGTTCAGGAGCTGTACCTCAATGTGCTGCTCCAGCAGGGAGACTGGGGGTTTCCATGGGGATGTGACATTGCAAAGAAATGGCATGCTGCAAGTACAGCATGGCCAAGGACAGGAGAGGTTTGTAGACGTTCACATGGGCTTGGGATGTCTCTCTGCAGTCAGCACCTGGCAGCTCAGGTGAGCTGGACCACCCATCTCTCCTGGCTCAAGAGAAATAAAGCAGCAGAGGGAAGGATGGAAATTGAGGGTGTTCACATGTATTCCTGCACTGCTGTGGACAAGAGTGGAGGGAGGAGACTAATGAGGACCAAGTTGGGGTGGTGTTGAGTATGTGAAACCAAAGAAAAAGCTGTCCTGAGAATTTGGGGTGGAGATTTTTATGGCTGAAGCAGTGATGTGCTCTGCAGGTATCTGCTGCTCTGCAGGGTGTGTAAGGGCTGCTTTGTAGCTTCTGTTGCTCTCCCCTGTGCCACTGTGCTATCTGTTGTGCCAGCTAGAGAAGCCCTACCATGCAGAGCTCACATTTGGGACTGCTGAAGCAAAGACTTCTTTGGAGTTGTGTTAAATGGCTCTGGAGCTGTTCAGGTAATACTTTGTGTAGCACAAGTCTTATCCCATCCATGCTTTGCATTTATCTCATAGGAAAGGTCACAGGCATGTCTGGGCATCCATGTCCTCTCAGGGCAAACATCCCTGAGCCCTCCCACCCCCTCTAATTCACCAGGACATGCTGAAGCTGCCACATCTGAGAAAGGAGGAGCTGTGCCTGTACCCCAGGGCCCCTTCCTGCTGCTATCAGTGGATTGCCACTAGTGAAGGTATTTCTGTCTGAGTGTGCAATAGCTGCAGTGACTGCACACAGATGTTCCCCTGGCACACAGGGCAGTGCTTTGTAAAATGCATTCAGATACCTACTGTAAAGTTTGCTTCTCTGGTGCCAGCCTGATGCAAGAGCTTCATTGGAGCACACTGGCCCCTTTAAGACTAAATTTCATAAAGCTTTTTTATCTTCAGTTTCCTAAAATATAATCTGATAATTAATGGTTTGCTGAATCCATTATGAAGTGCAATTAGATAGATGCAGGGTTCCTGTGGCTCTGAGGGGACTGGTAGCATTTATCTTCCTTTCCCTCATGCCAAAAGGTTGAACTCTGCCACTGTGGTATTTACATACTGAGCGGTGATCCCTGAGCAGCCCCGTTCCATTGCGCTGCCCAGAGCCACGGGAGCACAGGAGAGGAACAGATTGGAGCTTTCCAGCAGCATCTCGTGCTGGTTCCTCACAGGCACCAGGCAGAGATGGCTGCTGAGCTGGTTGTGCTATGAGAGAGTTTGTTCCTGTACAGTCTGGGGAGAGGTGAACAGCAAGGGATGCTCCAGGAGAGGGGCTTGGTGGAGCCGATTTGGGGTGTGTGTGTGGCAACAAATGACTGTTGAAGTGTTGTGTTTGCCTTGAGGGGTTCCCACATTTCTCTTCCTCAATTGCATGAACGGTTTGTCCCCCAGACTTCGCAGTGATGGTGAAATGGAGGAAGCATGAGGTTAAGTTGCCACTGAATCCAGGGATGACCAGGAGATGGTGCTCAAGGTCTTGAGGATTAGTGCTGATGGGCAGGTGCCTCTGCACCTTTGCTGAAGCTCCTCTTGGCCTTCCCAGGCCTTCCCCAGCTCCTTGAACTGGGCAGGAGGGTCCTTAAGCTACTGCAAAGCTGAAGGACAGCTCCAAGCCCTGGGCAGGACACCTACAAGCGCTGGGTATTGCTGCTTAAATGAGAGGCTGAAACTGGGCTGTGGCCACCTGTGGAGAGGGGAAAATACATCTGTTACAGAGGCAGAGCAGTGATAAAGGCTGGGACCCTCCTTGGCCAGAAGAACAGAGGTGGAACTGCTGAAGACCATCTCATGCCTGGGCACGGATGAACTCTGTGTGGTGCTTAAGATGAGCATGGGAATAATGACAGGGTGAGCAAGTACATCTTGCTGGTCTCAGAGCAGATGTGTTGTGATGTAAGCAGTAGATTTTGTCCTGCAGGCTGATGGAAGTGGAAGCTGTTTTCCCTTTTCTGGCACCCTAGGGCTGGGAGCTGTGTGACTCCTGCACAGACTGCATGAGTGCTCTGAAGCAGGGATGAATTGTCCAGGCAGCGCTTTGCAGATGTCCTGGCTTTCATTTGAGAGCCAGTAGCTGCAGGGTGGAAGATGATTTCCCTTTGTTCCTAAAAAACTCTGGAGGAAGTGGAAAGGTTTAGCAGGGCTCATGGAGAAGTTGCCTTATATATAGCCCTCTCATAAGGCAGAGGGAGCTTGGCTAGGGGTGCATTTTGGCTTTGATCCATTTGGTCCCTGTTGACCAAGCATTGTCACGGGTGAAGGGGAACGGTGTCAATCACACATCAGGCACAACTCAGGTTCATGTGTCCCATTCAGGGCCATTTCTCCTGCCTTGATGACATGTCCTTGGCAGAGTCCTGCCAGCAGTAAACACCCAGTGAGTGCTCTGCATCTGTACAGACAGCATCAAGCATCTCCCGTATCATTATGAGGAGATAACAACTCAGATTCCCCCATTCCAGTTTCTTTTTGATGGATGAAACGTGCACATCAGAGCAAATTGCAGTGTTAGCAACACCTATGTCCTACCTGGGAGGAAGATGCGTTTCCTAGGGCACATCCTGGTCTGATGTGCATAACACTGAAGATGCTGATCGCTAGAGATTTCTGGTTGTGCTGCATCTCTTTTTTTCCCCTCTGTAAAAAAGATGGAGAAGGAAAGACATGGTTACAGGTTGTCATGTGAAGCAGTTGGTTGGAAGTTAAAGTGTTTGTTCCTGAGAATGTCATTTTTGCATGTTTTCTCCTAGGTGCTGTGTGACCCACTGGGGTTTGTGAGGTCCTGTGGCCCTCTTGACCTTGGTGTCATCCCTTGTAAGGGAGCAGAGGAGCTATTGTCTTCTCAGACTGAAGCATGGGACCATCCTGCCCTCCACATGCTTTTGGGAACAGAAGCCTTGGGGGTACCATCCCATGAGGACATTAGATCAGCTAATGATTTCTCTATCTCCATGCATTAATTGGTAGCGTTTAGGGTGCAGGACTAAGCTTGTGGCTGTTAGGAAATGTCTGTTCTATGCCCACCTTTGACCTGGCATCTGCCCTGTTCATGGAAGGATCCTTTGGAAACAGGCAGGATGCAGTGACTGTGAGCAGCCCTCCCTTGGCATTTCCCAGTGCAAAATGTACATTTGCAGGGTGTTATTCAAACACAGTGTGTGCAAGCTCAGTGCTGCTGCCTTGCCCATGGGCAAGGGATGGAGGTGGCAGTAACACGGGGGGGGGACAGTGCTTGAAGCCCCTCCTAGGGGACAAGAGGAGGAGAGCAGATACCAGCGGCCTGAAACCCCCTGTGTGAGTGGGGCTGGTTCTGGCAGATTTCATGATGGACCCGTCAGGCTGCTGGCGCATCCCCAGCGGATTCAAGCACTGGAGGAAGGAAATGATGGTTTTGATGGGCTCCAGCTCGCTGAGTGCCATGCGGTGTTCCGCAGGGCAGGGATGAGATGCTTCAGCAGCCAGAGGCAATTCCCTCTCCTGAACCCAGTGGTCTGCTGCACACAGGGAGAGCCGAGGCACTGCCCTAGGAGCTGGGCTCAGTAACCTTTGCAGGCTGCTTCTGGAGGGGCTTGGCTGTCTCTCCAGCATCAGTTAATGTGTGTGATCCCCCGGCACAGTCAGCTGTATGGTGCTTCCTTGCAGTCAGTTGCCAGGATTCCTAATTTCCTGTGTTAAAGCAGCAATTCCTTTTATCAGGTCTCCAGCCGGCGTTTCGCACAGAGAGCAAAAGCAGAAGCTCTCACTTTGCCTTCCCTGCGCCATGTATGATCACTGAAAGCAGGAAATCTGCCCAGGTTTCTAATCATATTTAAGCAAACCTGATAAAGTGTAGCTCTTAGTTTGTTTAATATAAGGCACATGGATGCTGCATGGTGCCTGCTGTTAAATTGCTATATATAGCCTGCATCTCCAAATGGGATGGGGTTGGGAAGCATCCGTGGGTTAGACTATGGCACCTGTTTCTATGACCTGCAAGGAAACAGAAAGTCCTTGTTGGCAAAGCATGTTGAGGAGACAGGGGCTGGAGGAGTGATAAGGAGCAGTGGGGATCCGAACATGGGCGCAGCCAAGCTGTGTGTGTCTTACCATCCCTAAATGTCAGGCTGTGTATCTGGGGAGAGGTGATGCTGGTGCATGGAAAGAGGAGGGAATCAGGGCCAGCATGTCTGAAGGCATCCTGAGGTGTGCTCAAGGTAACTGGAGCTGTAAGTGACGTTTGGGGGCTTTAGTAGTTGCTTTTGGTAGGAGTTGGGAAGTGTTTCCTGCTGCCCCTGCTCTGAGCACCGCTGCAGCTCAATGCCATTCCCATACAGCTGCTCACCCACAGCAGTGTAAGAGAAGTGAATGGCAAACTGGAGGATGTGCAGGGAACAACTGACAGCACGAGTCAGGAGCTGGGAAATCTGCCTTATTGCATGAGAGTGAAGCAGCAGTGATTGCTTGGTGTGGGTAAGGAGTGACCTGGGGCAGTCTTCACCCCCTGCACTGGGGACTGTGTTCGTTCCTGTCTCTGGACTCCAGCAAAGTGCTGAAGGGCATCAGTGCTAGCAAGGGCCCATCTGTACACAACACAAATGCTTAGATTTGCCTTATTTCCCTTCCCTTTTGGATGCCTTGGAGATGCCCAGCTTTGAGGGCAGTCCTTTTCAAACAGTGACCTTTTCACTTCTAACAGGAGCAGTCGGTCCCTGTCTTGTTCCCGAGGAGCTCAGGGTCAAATTGTTGGCTGGTATTTCCTTCATCCCCTGGATCAGGGATCCTTAGAGCCCTGCAGCATATGGGCAGCCTGGTCTGGGCAGGCTGTCTGCTTATGTTCCTCTTTGTGCTTCCCAGACCTTCTCCCACTGGCCCCAGAGCCTCTTGCAGATGGGGAGGGCTGGCCA